ATATAAATGGATCATCTTTCATAGTAGGCTATTAATGAAATGACAATTAATGTGTTGGGAAACTGATTTTTTACTGTGTTCCTGAACGCAGCATACCTCTGACTCCTTCTGCAGCTGAGGTGCAGGGGGACAGGAGTGCTCCTGTGAAAGTTGAGCTTCAAAAAAAAAAAAATAAAGCTTTATCGACAAACAGACAATTCCAGTTGTCACCTGGGACTTACAGCTGCAGCACTTAAAGCTAAGAAACAGCTTCATGCCTAACGTAACGTGCTGTCGTAGCAACGTCATTCATTCTATTAAAATCAAAATAAATTAGTTTAATTCAGACTTGTCCATGAAAACAACGAACAGTCTGTACGGAAATGGCAACAATAATTAGCTGTGTAGTGGCCAAGACATAATTATTTCATGGGCATGCATTAATTTTTTTTTTATTCCATGTCTCCAGACGGGCTCTGTAGTTTCCCTTAAATCCCTTTACTGTTAAATAAAACATTGGTGGGAGTGGTGAAGCACCAACATCTTCCTCCACCCTCATTTGCCACTGGACTTTCAAGGAAGGTCCCCAACCCCACACCCACCCATCTGCTGCCAGGGGCAGCTGGATGGCATCTCCCGGCTCCACATACGTCGGCTGTGGTAGCTCAGTGGTCTGAGTGCATCAGAAAAAGCCTTTGGCATGAAAGCAACTTTGGAGTTTTCTTTAAAAATAACTGAAAGTTGCTTTACACTTACTCAGCTCAGTTGAGTGAGAATTGTTGACATTACTTTAAGTAAATCCAACAATCGGTTTTTGAGTGTATTAGCACTTTTTACAGAGCCTCTCAAAGCTGAGCATCATCGATTGAGCTAATATAAAAATAAAAAGTATAGAGATAGAGGTAAATTAAACAAGAGAATACATTGTGTTATGTATTGTACCCTAAATGTGAGATCCAAAATTGCATTTAGAATGAATTTTAAAGGGTTGACCCCCTCCCCCAAGAACCACTAGAGGTTAGTTAAGTGTTGGGTGGCAGGGGCATTTGAAATCAATTTTGACAAAGAAAAAAAAAAAGCTTTGTCAGGAACAATTGTTTTTACATATTGTGCCAAAACGTAAAAATTAAAGGTTTTTTCCCCCCCCCCCCCCATTTCTGTTTGTAAAGACACAAATGTTTTATAATGTACAATTTTTTAAATTCAAAACAATTGTTAATGATCTGTGGGAGTTGGCAAAACCATTCCTTTAGGGATTCTAGTTTCACTTTATCTTGAATATCTGTCTAGATTTTCAAATAGCTCCAAACTCCTCATTGATACGTTGTGTTTTCATGTTTTCTTGTTGATGTGCTTCTTTGTGGCAGGAATTGCTGGAGACTGGAAAAACCACTTCAACTCAGAACAACTGGCCCGGTTCACATCTGTCCTTCGCAAAGAGCTGGAGGGAGAGAACTTCTCTCTGCCATCGAGCTATAATTAACATATAAATTGAGAACGTGCGGCTAACTTTAAGATTTTTTTAGTTAATTTTACATGACACAAAAACAAGAACATTAATGCGTTTTTAATATATTTTATTTTTTAACAAAAATCTTAGAAAAAAATTTTTTGAATGAAAGCATAGATTTTTTACAGCAGAATGGTGCTTTAACAGTGATTATTGGATTCATCACAACTTTACACTAACACTGATGTTTTGTTTTTCACAAATCTGCCTGAAATTGTCTTATGCTTGGAATAATACGACAATCTTAACAAAATGTATTTTAATTTGTTCAAGTTTATCTAAGTGTGTTAATACTTCAAAAGAAATGTAAAGTTCTTTACATTTCAAAGCAAATAAATGCAAATGCTGTAAACTGTAGAAAATCTTTTTTCCCAAAGTAAGTAAGTTTTATTTATAAAGCACTTTTCTTAGAAATAACTTCACAAAATGCTGTACAATACAAAAATACATAATACAACAATGCAATAAAAATGTCATAGAGCCGTCCAGTATTTCCAACCCAAAAAAGGTGTATCAGCAACAACATTGAGCCAGATGGAAAAAAAGACAACAGTAAAAATAAAATACCAACCCATTTACATTTACATTTACAGAAAAATGTAAATCGAACTTGGACCAAGGCAAGAGAAAACTTCAGCAACGACAACAGGCACTGGGTTCAACAACTTTAGCCAAGACATCTAACTAAAAGCTTGTTTGAAATTTAAGGTTTTTAAACCCTTTTTGAATAATTTGACATCATTGATCGAATGTAACTCAAAGGGAAGGGCATTCCAGGGGCTAGGGGGGCTGCAAACGAAAAAGCCCAGTCGCCACGGGTCCTATAGCGTGTTCGAGGAACGACTAATAGATTTTGATCCTGAGAGCGCAAGCAGCGGGCTGGATCGTACATAGAGAGCATGTCCCTAACATAAGCAGGTGCCTGGCCTCTTAAGGCTCTAAATGTAAGAACCAGGATTTTAAACCAAATCCTAAAATAAACAGGCAGGTAGCCAATGAAGTTCTGAAAGGATTGGAGTGATATGACTAGATTTATATGTTACGAGTTAAAAGTATAGCTGCAGAATTCTGAACAAGTCGGAGACGATGTAGCTGCTTTTGATTCAAGCACATAAACAGGTTGTTACAATAATCCAGGAGGCTAGAAATGAAAGCATGTATGACCATTTCCAGATCTGAGGCAGACATCATAGACTGAAGTTTAGAAATGTTACGCAGCTGGAAAAAACATGTAGACACTAAATTTTTTATGTGTTTTTCCAGAGACAGGTCTGAGTCAAATATAACACACAGATTACGAAGACTCTGATGGACAGCTGAACACAGAGAGCCCAAGCGCTCCTTAACATTAGGGATCATTTTTTCAGGGGCTACAATTAGCACCTCTGTCTTGTCCAAATTAAGCAGCAGCATGTTTTCTGACAGCCAGCTCTTTACCTCTGTGACAGTCCATCAGAGAAGCCGACTTGTAAGAGGTGGAATCAGTAAAAGAGCAGTATAACTGCAAGTCATCTGCATAGAAGTGATGGGACACATCGCAGAATTCATTTATAATCTGACTCAGAGGACGGATGTACAACAAAAATAAAATAGGTCCCAAAATTGAACCCTGTGGCACTCCACAGATAAAGGGAGCCATGTCAGTATGTCTGACCTACTAAAACAGAAAAAGAACGATCTGAGAGATAAGATTCAAACCAGTCTAACACGACACCACCAAGGCCCAAATCTTTACATCTCCTTAACAAAACGGCATGGTCCACAGTGTAACATCTTTTTCAGTGGTTTGTTTACAAAAATTATTGTAAGGTGTGTCAAAGTTTCAACCCATTTTTGCAATTCCTGCAATCAAAAACTATTTAGTTTGGGTTACCTTGTCATTCCTCAAGTTTATGTGATTTTAGCACTGTATAGCCTCACAGCAAGCAGGTTACAGGTTTAAATCTTTGTCCACCCAGACCTATTTGTTGATTCTTCATGTTTTACCAGTGCATACGTTTCTGTGATTTCCTCCCACATTCTTAAAAAACATTCGTTACTGGACATTCTGTTCTGGTCTTTATGGGACGTTTTGATAGACTAAGGACCTGTTCAGGGTAGACACCCCCTTTCCTCATTGAGTAGGATTTAAAAAATAATATAATATATAGGGAATAAGTGTATAAGGGTGTAAGTGAGCTAGTATGGCTAAGGGCAACAGGCACAAGGAGGATTAGTTCTGGGATCTTCAGAATCAGAGAAATAACAGGTAAGAAAACTCAGACGGAGCAGCTGTAACACTAAGAAGAGATGATGCTCCAACAAAGAACAGAAGCCTTTTAAAGCCCAGGAGCCAGTCAATGGAATGAGCTGCAGCTTCAAACAGTCAGCGCCCGGATCCAGCCAGAATCAAAGATAAAGAGAAAAATACATTTAAAGTTGTAACAGATATATGCAAAGTCATGCATATTTCAATGAGCACAAAACATAAAATAAAAAAACATATTGTCTCCTCTTACCTGTCGACCCACTGCTGCCTGGCAGCTAGTTTCCTCTTCATCCTGACAAACATGACAGAAAAGCCTGTGATCCACCACACAAAGTAAAACTTTTTAATAATATGTTTAAAGTACAGGTGAGCCATTTATATTAATATACCTATAAAATGGTAGGTGATATTAACTTCCTGTTTTTGGCACATTAGTATTTGGGAGGGGAGAAACTGTTCAAGATGGTTGGTGACCATGGTGGCCATTTTTGATCCAAGTTTAGTTTTTTGAATGGGAAGAGGGTCATGTGACACATCAGACTTATTGAGAATTTTACCATAAAAACAATGTTATGCTTGGTTTTAATGTAACTTTATTCTGTGATGAGTTATTTCCAAGTTTCTGGGAAATCTTTGGCCACGTAAGTGCCACAAACTGCCAGAGGCTGCCGCTGGGTGCCAGAGGCTGTTGGAGGACAAACTGACCACATTTCCTCATTCTGCTGCTATCTTTAGTCTCTCTTCTCTACATCTTTGTTATAAATACAGCGGGTAAAATAAATATTGAACACGTCAACATTTTTCTCAGTAAATATATTACTAGAGGTGCTAATGACATGAAAGTTATTTGTAATAATGTGGAATGGCACAGGGAAAAGTATTGAACACACTTACTGAAATTTGTCTAATACTTTGTACAAAAGCCTTTGTTGTCAATGACAGCTTCAAG